CAAATATTCCTCTTCAGTGTAAAAAATAAGTTTGGTGTATAAGATCTAGAAATTTTGTTTGGTTAAAGCATAAATTTTACAAGAATAAATTCCACAAATAAAGTTTCAAATATTTTTTCTCAATGTAGAAACCAAAAACTGTTTCTTTGAACAAAACGGTAATTCAGCCAATCTCTCCGTATTCTCGCTGTCACGCATATGTGTGTTAGTGAATTGCATATTTCATATATGAAGAAAAAAATGATTAAATTAACATGACAATGATACAAAACTAAACATATTTTGATTGAGGTAGCAGAATTTTTAGCTCTTATAAACCAGACTCGTTTCTTACATTAAGAAAAAATATTCGAAAATTTATTCGCGGAATATAAAGTTTATTTCTGTGAAATAATTTGTGAAGGAGAAAGAGAGAGAGAGAGAGAGATTTTACAGAAATAAATTTCATATACCGTAAATAAATTTTCAAATATTCCTCTTCAGTGTAAAAAATAAGTTTGGTGTATAAGATCTAGAAATTTTGTTTGGTTAAAGCATAAATTTTACAAGAATAAATTCCACAAATAAAGTTTCAAATATTTTTTCTCAATGTAGAAACCAAAAACTGTTTCTTTGAACAAAACGGTAATTCAGCCAATCTCTCCGTATTCTCGCTGTCACGCATATGTGTGTTAGTGAATTGCATATTTCATATATGAAGAAAAAAATGATTAAATTAATATGACAATGATACAAAACTAAATATATTTTGATTGAGGTAGCAGAATTTTTAGTTCTTATAAACCAGACTCGTTTCTTACATTAGGAACAAATATTTGAAAATTCTCCGCGTGCTTCATATCGAGCTTTCTCATCACGAACTTATTGTTGCTTTTAGGAACAACGTGCATCCTAGAATTTGGCCGCGCGCGAGCGCAGCGGCCGAACGTCTGTGGAGCTTCAACAAGCAGGACAACAATGCAGCTGCCCAGCGTCTGGAGGAGCACGCCTGTCGTATGAACAGACGCGGTATACCTGCACAACCACCAAACGGACCGGGATTCTGCGTGACGTAGCGTGCATCTGCTGCTTGTCACGAATCTGCCGTTTAACCTACGCGTATTACGCCCGCGCACGCTAATGAGAAACACAGTTGTCATTTCGCACTCATTCACCGCTGTCCCATCAACGTATGTCGCAATAAATACAGTTTGAATAACAAGCGTGTCTTTTTTTACACCATTTACATAATCACAAAAATCCAGCAGCGAATGTCTTCGACGTTTGCGTGAAAAAAAAGAAACACGAAGGGACAAACCGAATCTTCGGGATTGCGGTTTTATCTTACACGCTTTTATATGTTAAACAAAATTTCTTCTTTAAACGTTCGTCTTGTGCACAGAGAAAATTAAAGAAATAAAAACTACGTTAAAATTATATTGAAGTAAAAGTTACGTTAAAATTATATTTCATTTTACAATGTTTGTTATAAAGCTGTATCGACGTTATAATATAAATATATTATAAATATAAATTACTATAAGAATAGTAAATTCGACGATTCCCGAATAAAAAGATTTCCAAGAAAACTAGTCAAGAACTGGCTAGTTTTTAATAGCTAGGATTTATTAGACAGTGATTATCCAGAAATTAGCTAATTAGAAAATACTGGTCAGTATTTTTGAATCAGTTAGTGATAAAAAATTCAGTAATAAACGACAAAAAGTAAATGCTGAGTAGTTCCTATCTAATAAAAACTCGGAAAAATTGGCCAGTATTTTTTGGTCACTATAAACCAGAATGAATAAATGAAACGAAAGTAAATGCTGAGGTTTCTAACCAATACAAACTCAGAAAATACTGATTAATATTTATTGATTAGTTATTCAGTTTAGTTTTTCAGAAACCAAACAAGAAAGAATGGTAAGTAAATATTGGGTAGTTTCTGTCGAATAAAATCTCAAAAAATACTGGCCGGTATCTTTTGGTCAGTTTATTAGTCAGAAACCAAACAAGAAGAAATGGTAAGTAAACACTGAGTACATATATAGTTCCTGCTTAGTAAAATCTTGGAAAATACTGGCCACAATATTTCTTGGCCAGTTATTAGGCAAAAAATAACGGTAATTAAAAATAAAGCTGCAGCTATTTCAATAGTGAAAATGAGCTCTTCCATACACACGTGAAAATACTAATCTACTGAATGTACCATTTAAAAAGCATTCAAGCAATCACAATAATTTTGTAATAAGCTAACATGCAAATATATATAATAATTTTGATCGTATTTTTTTTGTATAGTCCAAGATTACGAAATTTGGATATAATTTTTACTACAATATTTCCTCGTGTGTCTAACGGTGTTGGGGCGTGTAAAACTGATTTGCACGCGCGCGTTACACCTGTCCTATGCATTATCCTTATCCAACAGCGTGGCGAAATTGTGATCTATTGTTAGATGTAGATATTACAACGAAGATACGGCGCTGCTTTTGTCAGCAGCCTTTCAATCGAGCTCATGAACCATCGCTGGAATGCGACAGTTGACGTGCATCGAAGGTATTGTCGAAGTGAACACGCGGTGGACAGTTGCGTCCCCCGGGTGAAGGAATGCTCTTGTCTAAAGTCAAACGGCCCGTAACGAAATTGATTTCCGCTGACGATCATGATCTCGATTTGGAATGAGGATACTCTTTATCGGAGGTTCACGCATGTGATCGCTATTTATCAAACGGTCATGCTTCACGCATAATGAACATAAAAATTTTGCATCTTTCTTTTTCGTGGCCGACAAATTGACACGCGCGATTTACGCAAATCAAGAACGACCGGCTTGGATCGCTCGTTGCGACCGCGTTGACCGTTTAAAAATATTGCATTAATTCAAGCTATTTCAAGGCTAAAGATGATCCGCTATCAGTGATGGATAGCGCTGTTTGAAACTCGCTACTTTTTGCTGGAAGTGGCGTCAGCGATGAGTTGCGCACTTTGAAACGGGAATCACCGTATGTGTTTCCCGCGCGTCATCAATTCCGCGAAAACCGACGATCGACTTTTTTACGTGTCACCCAGGTTACGTCTAACAATCTTCACGGCTGATATCATGAAAGGTGGTCAATTTTAAATTTTGCAGCGTCTTCTATCAGAAACTGACAAATTCCAAGTGACATTGAATAATTTTCGCGGCGTGCGAGGTCCTGCCTCGTTGGAGCAAGCAATCAGCCACGATCGACGACTTGATCCTCGATTGTGATTGTCAAAATTTTCGATAAGTCTGTCAACGATACTGGTCGATGTATACCACGTCGTACGGTGCACGCCTTTGACGCATCATGTTGAGGTAAATTTTAGCAGGAATTTAGTCTCTTGATAAGATTCACGTTAATTAGAAGTTGCAGCCATGTGAATCTAAGCGTTTAGAATTTAACCAGATGTCAGAATTATAATCATTCATGATATTCTTTTAAAATGAATCAGTGCAAACGTTTTTGATCGGATTAGTAAAATGAATATTTCTCCGGCAATCAGTGAATATTCATTGTTTTTCAGTAGAAATGTTGCTATTTCAAAACACTCTGTTTTATATCTCACTGATTTTGACCAGGGAAAAATTTTTTCGAACTTTTTGTGTTGGTGGTGATGGAATTCAATGACTTCCACGCGTCTTGCGTGCGATAAACATTCTATTTGTGTTTGTAGAGTACATCAATAATGGGAACAGTCGCTACACAGAGAAAATATTATAGTCTTCTTTATATATATATATATATATATATATATATATATATATATATAAATTCTTTTCTATGGGGTAATGTAATTTTCTCTTATATACATTGTATGCTAATTGTTGAGATAATTCAGGAATCGCACTGAATAAATAATACTGTAAAATGATATAAATTGAATGATAAAAATAAAATATTACATTTATTTGAAAATTTTAATAAATTTTTTAAATATATTTATTTAAAAATATTTTTTCCTTTACTATGAATTATTTCCTTTCCCTTTCTTACTATAAATTATACATATAAAAAATCAAGAGAATTTTAATCTTAATTTCTTTGACTAAAATAAAATTTTCTTTGACTAACCGACAAGTCAATAATCAAAATTAATTAATAGTTATATATAAAATTATAAACAATTTCGTCGATTGTTAATTAAACTTTGATATGATTGATTTTAAACTGATTAATAATTGATTTCACCAATCGATTAAATTATTCGTTATTACATATGTTGATGAAATATGAACGAACCAGAAAATAAATATATTTATTTCAAAAATTTATGAAAATTTTCAAATAAATGTAATATTTTATTTTGATCATTCAATTTTTAGCATTTTACAGTATTATTTATTCAGTGCAATTCCTGAATTATCTCTAAGTAGCATACAATGTACGTAAGGGAAAATTGCATTATCCCATAGAAAAGAATTTATATATATATATATATATATATATATATATATATATATATATATATGAATTCTTTTTAATTCTTTTCTATGGGGTAATGCAATTTTCTCTTACGTACATTGTATGTTACTGACACTCACATAGATAGTTAGAAAAAAATTAACGCGATATCGATGAGAGTCCAATTAATCTTTTATTAAGCCTGTGGTCCACAAGTATAATTTGAAGACTATATATTATTAGTCAATGTACGTGAGTGTCAGTGCCACGAAGAAATATTTCAGGTGCCATGAGCTGGGAGTCTGAATACGTGATTGAAAAGCTACGACGTGGAATTTAGCACGTAGAGTCGCGGACAGCGATAAATATATTTTCAGTTGCATTTAATTATTGATTATTGACATTTCCGATATTAATGAATGTTTGGCGATTTTAATGAGAAAATGGAAATATCCGAGTCGTAATTAAGACTGGTATCTATAGCCATTATTGAACAAATAATTATAGTTTCTCGAATTTGCGTTGATTATTTGTCAGCTTGCATCTATATGCAATCCATATTTATATCTTGCAGCAATAAACCTTGATTTAAATATCCGTATGACGGTCCATGAACATAAATCTGTATTTAATTATGCTCTCACACACAATTGAAAATCGTAAATAACTTACGATTATCAAAATAGCGATCTTAATCTAGCAAACTAGGAGTCTAATAAAGTTATTAAAATGTAAGTATCGCAAATGATGATTTATGTGTATAATAATACTTCTTAGACAGCAAGTCGAATTTTAAAGCTGTCAACGCCTTATTCTTTCTTTTGTCTAATTTCTTATTTGTTTGATTTGTTATTGCATGGAATCTAAATTTAAATATCTATTGATGCACAGTATTATTAGGCACAACTATTATCCTTTTATAATTTGTTTTCACTTTTCATAAATACTAAACAATTTTAAGTCCTAACATTTTTGTTATTAAAATACAGTACTAAGAAGATAGTGGTAAACAATCATTTAAAATATTAAGATGAAATAATAACTCTTACACTATTATATCTCAAGATTTTCTGTCGATCCTTCAAATTGAACAGGACTTACGAATTTAGACAATACAAAACGTTCCAGAATTATTCCGAATATGTCCAAGTTATTCTGATGTCTCCTTTACTTTAGTACTTTAATACTATCCAAGATGGTCCTCGAATGGTCTGTATTATCTGGAGAGTCAATATATAAAATCAACTTCAAAATCAATTTCAACTAGGAACGCAGCTTGTTTTCCTAAACCTTTGTGTAAATTATACGTGCCATGGAATAATATCTAGTATTTCAAAGAGTTCAGAATACTAATTTTACAAATACATTTGCGTATACTGTATAAGTATTGTAATACTTTACAATCTCTACATCCTCTACTATTTATATTCTCAATTTAGCATTATATTGAGTAATATTATATTGAGAATATAAACAGTGTAGCGGATGTAGAGATTATAAAGTACGCGAATGTATTTGTAAAGTTGGTATTCTGGACTCTTTGAAATACTAGATATTATTTCATGGCACGTGTAATTTATACAAAGGCTTAGGAAAACAAACTGCGTTCCTAGTTGAATATTGACTCTCCAGATAATATAGATTCCAGAACCATCCTGTATAATACTAAAGTACTAAAGTAAAAGAGACATCAGAATAACCTGGACATATTCGGGATAATTTTGGGATGTTTTGTATTGTCTAAATTCGCAAGTTCTCTTGAATCTCAGGATCGACAAAAAATCTTGAGATATAATAGTCTAAGAGTTATTACTTCATCTTAATATTTTAAATGATTGTTTATCGTTATCTTTTTAGTATTATATTTTAATAAAAAAATGTTAGAACTTAAAATTGTTTAATATTTATAAAAGGTGAAAACAAGTTACAAAAAGATAATAATTGTACCTAATAACGCTGTACATTAATAAATATTTAAATTTAGATTCAATGCAATAACAAATTAAATAAATAGGAAATAGTATTTGCCTTATTTGTATTGTCTTTTCAAAGTAGGTGTCGCTAAGATGACCAGACATCCCGATTTTTCACCCTTTGTCCCGAATTTTTTCTATTTGGGACACTGATTTGTCACATTTTCAATGATTGTCAAATAATTTTCGAATCTTTTAACCCCCTTTCCCCGCTTCACATGTTTATGAAGTGTCCCGAATTCATGGTTGGGAAATCTGGTCATCTTACATATACCGCGAGGAGAAACAAGAAGATTACTTACAAATGACGTCTTCACGATACGCCCCGGCGATCGCACATCGCTATTCTCGACACTCCCGAAACATATTTCCGCGCAAGACTTACTTTCGACGGGTTAAAAACGCGTAAAATGCGAAGCGATGTTGTTCGATGTGTATACGGCAGTTACTCGATGCAGGAAGATCGAGAATCAAGATGGTTGCGCGATTGTTGAATCGCGCTGAAAATATACGCCAATATATGAACGGTGGCGCGGCCGAAAAGAACACGCTCTATGAGATACTTCTCTCTCCGTATCTCTTTTCCTAACAAGCTGACGCAACCGCCCGAATATCCCGCATCTCTTTCTTTCTCTCTGATTGTCATCGTATTTCTAATTCCCGTTTAATAAATCCGACGATCATCCGATTCTATTGCTACTTGAGCGAGTCGATGTTATTAGCAAATGTAAAGGACGTCGACACGACACGTCGCGACAAGCACCGGCCGCATATACCGCGATGAGAAACGAGAAGATTACTTACAAATGACGTCTTCACGATACGCCCCGGCATTCGCACATCGCTATTCTCGACACTCCCGAGACTTATTAACGCGCGAGACTCACTTTTGACAGATAAAAGACGCGAGAAACGCGGAGCGATGCGGATCGATGTGTACTCATGGCTGCTGCTTGGCGCGAAAAGATCGAGCATTTCGCGCGATTCATTACCAACGCCTAGATTGAATAACCATTATGACAATCTCGTAGTGCAAAACGAATGCGATTGGTCTAGAGAGGTTAGTAACTCGAGCAAGTGGTTAAGGCGTACAGATCGCGTCGTTGTAGACGCGCGACCTCATTTGCATCACTGTGCTGGGATTTTGTAACTCATTATTGGAGTTAACGACAGTTTCGTTATCGTTGCGCAGCTTTTCTACGATATACAAAAGCTGCGCAACGATAATGAAACTGTCGTTAACTCCAATAGCGAGTTACAAATCTCAGCATTGGCGCGTTCACATTCATGCACTTTTGACACTTTTGGCGCGCTAATGAACTTTTGGTGTACGTGATTGACAGCGCGCGCGTTTGCGATTTTTTCATGTCGAAAGAGTGCCGAAAACAACGACATGTGGTCGTCAGGACATCGTAAGTACATTATTACGGAGTAATCTCCTTCCGTCTCAATACATACAGCTAGGGTGACCAGACGTCCCGCTTTTTCACTTTTTGTCCCGAATTTTTTCGAGTGCTATTCGGGACACAGATTTGTCACCATTTTCAATGATTATCAAATAATTTTCGGATCTTTTTATCCCCCTCCCCCCGCTTCACACATTTATAAAGTGTCCTGAATTTAGGGCTAGGAAATATGGTCACCTTAGTTGTCACATAACCAGAATTCGCGAATTCGTCGATTCTATTGTTTTCTTTCACACGTTATTGTTCTTGAATCTTTTAAATGCTATTGTTAAATGCTGTTGTAAAAATATTTCTGTATACGTATTCAAATGCAGAGGTAAATCCCGATCTACAATAGGTGTAGTAAGCTTTAAGCCTTAAGAAATTGACCAATTACAGTGGAATTATAAAGGAATAATCAATTGTGATTGGTATAATTTCTTATGGCTTAAAGCTTACTACACCTATTGTAGGTCGAGACTAACGTCCACTTTACGCATATAGAACGTTTAAGGGCATCACACACAAAATTCCGTAAGAACTTAAAACATAAGCGTAAAGAAATCGACCAATTCCAATCAAGCACTCGGCTCTTCGTAACCCCTCCATTATTACGAAGAGCGGAATACTCAATTGGGATTGGTCGATTTCCTTACGCTTACGATTTAGGTTCTTACGGAATTTTGTGTGTGATGGCCTTTACACCGCGAACGAAGGATAGAGAGAGAATTTACGGACTTGAATTCACGCTTTCACGTCTGGTTGCATGTTTTTCCTGTATCGACGAAAAAACAGTAGATAGCACCATTAAAATAGCATATAGCAGTTCTGAACTTACTCTTTATCCAACGTCTGTATGTCGATTCATCTTGGAGCCTTCACATTTCCGACGTACTTTTTAGCAAAAGGCGACGAAATAGACATGTTATAACAAGTATAGCGCGAACGTCGCGTTAGCGGACAGTAGCGCCCTCTTTGGTATAACTGCGTAACCAACTGGCCAAGAAGAAACACAACCGTAGCGGACAGCTGTGTTTACAAAACACAGCGGTGGTGGGGGCAAGGCCGAGGCTACGGCATGGAAGCGACTATGGTAGACAGATTTCCAGGAAGTGTGGCGGGGAATGCGGCCGTGGAATCCGGCGTCGTGTTTCCACTCACGCGTAACGGTAAACCTTGTAAAATTCACCACCTGTGTCGGCGCCGCGGTCAGAGTCCGCCAGGAGCGCTGAGCGATCAAGCGCGCGCCGCTCGATATAATCGTCGATATTTTCACTTGTAATGCGTAGCGACTTCATATAAGAACCGTTGCAGAAGTAAGACTTGTCGGAGCTTATTCTCCAAGAGAATGGAGACAAGATCACTCTTTCTTAACGTGTCTAACAATCTTTAATATCGCATGCTCTTTCCAACGAAAATACTCTAGCTGCATATCTTTATGCGAAAACACATCTAGATCGGAACGTTCGTAATACGAAGATGCTAAATATGTATAGAAATAGATGAAGACATAGAACACGTAAACGTCAAATAATAATAGAATAAATAGCAAAATTCTTGTTCGTTTATTCACCACACGTGATCAGTAGAAGCGTACAAATAATTTGTGTTACCAAAATCGAAAAATATAATTCTGAAAGTGTTGATTTTTCGACTTATGTTTACTAAACATTTTTTACTCAATGTGTGTTTAACATTGTATAATTTTCCTTTCTGAATTTCTTGGAGGAAAATCTCCAAGAGATTCCACTCCAAAAATTTTATTAATATATAGCGGTTATTTTCGTTATTGATGAATTTTGTGAACATGTCAGTGTCATTGTACTTAAAGCATGGAAGTCTTTAATTTCTTTAATTGTCACAAACGCAGAAAGCTGAATTTAACGTATAACGTATGAGAAATTTGTATATTACAGACTTTGCAGTGAAATTCTATTTCCACTGGTCAAAATCAATGAGATATGAAACAGAGTAGTAAAGAGAGAATGCTTTCACTGAATATCAGTGAATTATTAATCATCGGTGAAATAGTCATTTTACTGACTGAATCAGAAATATTTTTACTGATTCACTTTAAGAAAGCGTATCCCGCTGTTCTTCGTCCTTCGTCGCGACTTCCTAATCCATCATCTTGGCTCTTAGCTGCTGCTTTTCTGGATAATTATTTATGATAATGAAATTTGCATTGACACTCGTGCAGATATAATTCGATTGTAGAAATGCGTATCAACTAATATGTTGCCCATAAGAGTCTAATTGAGTATTTGAGTATTGAGTAAGAGATAACAAAGTATTGTAATTACTTATTGTAATTACTTATTGTAATTGCAATAATCGTATCGGTACGTGTAGGGAAGACTGGATTATACTTTTTACATAACATAATTGAAAAACAGATGCATGCAATATTTTTCCAATATTGTCCACATTTTCATATAAGCCATACAGCCTTTAAGCAAAAGAAGAAAGAATATTAAGTTATTAAGATTAATAAGTTATTAAGTTATTAAGCAAAATTGTGCAAATGTGATTACCCACTTCATACTTAGGATTATGGTTGCATATTTCTTTCATGTAAAAAAACAAGACAAGTTATTTCTGTTTTAAGGTTTCAAGCGTTTTATTAAAGTTAGTGATATTTTATAAGCAGGTATTATAAATTAAGAAGATTAAACTAAGAGTCATTGAACTAAAAAGATAATAATTCTCATTGAGAATTCTCTTTGCAATAATAACTTTGAGTTGTATAGGACTCATTATTGCCACATATATAACATAATGCGTCATTACGTATGCTTCAATGTTCTCGCTTAAGTCACGTTATAGCTACATGATGGACTTGCAACGCATGACAACTAATCTCACATAATTTAAGCCAGCTTAACCCGAATGCGGTTTGGAAATAAAAGAGATTTATAAATTATGTTAAAAATTATATTAAAGAGGTTTATAAATTATGTTACAGTAACTGTTAACTAAATGCAGGGAAAATTAGTTAACTCTATAACATTTCTTGCTAAAGAGAGACTGCAAACAGAAGTTCCAAGACCAATGTGAATCAATAACAATAGAGACAAAAAGAAATTTACTGGTTGCGTCCAATTTTGGAAAAGTGCTTGTAAATATCACATACAATTTTTCTGTCATAAGCTATTTCGAACACTCTATTAACATGATATAAACAACCTATACTATAGAGTATAATACGTGAGATATAAACTTTATGACAACTGACCTGTGTGACATCTAAACTCACTCTACTCCATGAAAGTGTGTCGCTCGCCGGCTAGAGACATAATGTACCTTCTAAAGGGTGATGGGTAAAATGGGCCGATTATAACCTAACAAATGTAACGTAAATTATATATAATTTTACGTTTTTGGGTCGCTGAATATGATAGTAATATTCTTATGTGTCTAATTTCACAGGAAAGTGGTTAAAATCTGTCTTAAAAAGGGCCGAAATAAATCACTTGTGATAGTAACTCGGTTAGCGACGATTTTGCTCCATTATTTAATTACTTGTATCATATTTTAGTTTTGACTTTTTTCACTAAAAACCAAAGAAATTTTTTAGAAATGCTAAATCTAATAATAACGAGATCAATATAATATAAAAATTTTAAAAAGTCTATTTCTTATTATGTTTATATTTCTTATAAAAATACATACGAAAAGAAAAAAAATCTTAGCAAAAACGTTGCTTATTTTAGCAATATGTTAATCCACCAAAATCTTCAACACATCATCGTTTGTCAGTAAAAAAGTCGCAGACAACAAAACAAATTTTCAATTCAGACGTTCAAGGCGGTCAAGTTTTAATTTTTGTATGCCAAACGTGGAGTTGTACGAGGGTATTTGTATCGTTGTGTTACAATTTCTAGTTACAACTTCTGGATGTTTAATATTTCTTCGGCTATTGAAATATTTAATCAAATTCTTATAGCCATCACATTACGTGACATTAACATTAACGCGTCTCTCCGATCGAAACGTGACCACGCGAATATCAATGTCATGAGTAAGTATTCTGAGTGTCACGATAGAGCAGCCAGGAGTCAGGATGTGAAGCCAGCATTCGGAGATGCAGGCAGCGATAATGCGTCATGTATTTTCAGACGCTTGAAATCATTTATTATACAAAAGGTTGCACGGATTTTTGATTTACGAATGAGAGAGTAGTCATGACGCTATCTTGAACGTTAATTTTTGATGATCGTATTATTCAATAATTTGCGTGGCGACCAAGTGAATGTTGCAGGAATTCCTATGTCCCTCGCCAAACGTGCTGTATGAAACTGACATGTCCAGCCCCGTGTCCTGTAATTTGCTGTACTCCGCCTGTGGGTTTTGCTTGCGTGTCTCGCGTGCCCACCATCCAATGTAGGCCAGTTCCTCAGCCTCGATGTCTTCCGAAAGCCGCTAAGGCGACGGTACGTGTGTCACGCGAATTATTTCGAATTTTATCGAGGATTTTGTCTAACCAAGTCTCATCGGTGTCTCCCGCATCGCGCGCGCGACACGCGTGAAATTAACGTAAAATGGATCCTAGAATCTTAAACATGAGTAGAATTGACCAACTTCCCCAACGTTACCGTTCTTAAAAACATTTATATTTTGTTCATTCTATTATAAATATGTTGAACTTTATTGAATTGCAAAAGTACACTAAATAAATCATATTTCTCAATGATTTCTACTCTGTGATTAAAAAAGTCTTTATTGAATCGCAAAAGTACGCTAAACAAATCATATTCCTCAATGCTTCTACTCTGTAATTAAAAAAGTCATTAAATTTAGGTAATTTTCCTAGGAGTTATGAGCAGAAGAAAACACGTTTGATGAAACTTATCCATGTTTAGGTTTCACGTAACTTTTTAATGTTTAGGATCCTAGAGTCAACGATTGTGAGCTTAATAGTCAAATTGCACCTATGATAAAATGTCCTCGTTGACAATAATCGATTTGAGATTTAATGCGCGATTGCGATAATTACGCGCGTAATAATTGTTTCGAGGTTATTGTTGTCGCTTCGATGGTGAGAGTAATTAAAAGAAAAAATTCCACATAAGGTTTATCTACCGCCTTGTTCGCGCTGTCGCACGCCTTATCCACCGAAAGTCGAAGTCACGCGTTGTCCATCTCCTCCACTTCCTCCATGCTGTTCTCCCCCTTCTCCCCCGCCGTGTCCTACCTGCTTTTACACCGCGAAGTGCTCTCCCTGCGTGCCCTGTCCATTGCCTCGCTCGTCCTGCAAGTCACTGTGAGGTCAGTTTGTTGCCACGACCCCTTTATGAGGATTTGTTGCCTAGATTAATGTGAGTTTCTCATTCCACAGTACTCTAAGGGCAGTCCGCCCTGCTAAGAGACGACATTCTAATTGGCGAGTGACTGCTTGGCAATTACACAACGTGCGGCTGCTTTTAGATGTGAGTTTACATAAGAGGTAAAGAAGTGTGTTGCGCATGTTTATGAAACGACGCGTTTTATGTTGTAAAATTTAAAAGTTCCAGTGATGTAGTTACAAAAGCAAAAGCAGATAAGAGAAAGAGAGAGAGAGAGAGAGAGAATGTGTTTTTTTTCAAGTTATGGTTATATAAGTTAACTCACAAAAGAGCTGCAATGTAGAGATAGATTAGGTCAAAAAATTCCTCTACCATTTTGCAACAATCACGTAAAATTTTGAGTTAATTAGTAGAAGAATTTTTTGTTCTGTTTGACTTAATTTACCGCGACTTCTTCGTGAGTTACCAGACACCCTATATATTTTCTATAGAAAATTTTAATTAAGCGTTTTAAACAGTTTATCTGGGTTTATTAATATTTTCTTTTACAAAACAAAACTTTTTCTTTACAGCAAAATTGGATCGTGCAAATCAAGACACAGAGTCAACTGTTCGTCAGCTATTCTGTCGCGCGACATCCACTTCAATTAACGACTTCAATTGAAGACATTTTAATCAGAATAGCTTTGAAACTATAACTTGTCCATAGTATTACATTAAACGTGTGACTAATTATATACGTATATTAATGTCGATCACAATCTCGCAAGATTAAATATTAACAAAATATTTCTCGCCCTTATCACTTCGTTATAATTTATCGTTATTAAATTATTTGTGTAAATACCAGCTTGGCATTTACACAAGTCCAATAATGCTTTCCACTTTTGTTTAAACTATTTAGAGGATGTTAGGATATTTTGACTTTGGCGTATCGCTTCAACATATTTTTGTATCGTAACTGTCGGTTTTTAAGAAATGCATTCACCGTGTATATATTACTAAAATATCTTAACCGGAAGCGGAAGGCAATACTGAAATCGTGATAAATTACGTTCATCTTTTTGATTAGCTTGACGATTTTCACGAGTCGCATAGCGCGAATGTAACCTTCAATATCGATATCGCTCTAGAAAAATTCAGCGGCGCCCTAAATTCGACCAACAACGCGAACGTATCCATGACAACAAATCGCGCACTTGTCCCTCGTTTCTCAACACGTCAAACACACACGCGGTCTCTCCTTTCGGCGATATACAGCAAAATCCGATTCGAGAATTTTCTCATCGAGTTTAAACGATGAGATCCTCTCGCGGCTAATATCGTGCCTCCAAATTCGCAATTAAGCAAAACCAATTATAACAGTGAAAAATATGTGAGAGATCTCGAGACACGTTGAATCGACAAATGTCTAATTTCTCCTACGGGAGATTTGACTGGAGGAAAATTTTAGTCTAGAGGAATTCCAGAGAATCGTCCGAGACGAATCCTCGTCGTCGTCGTTATCGTTGAAGACTCTTGTAAATCCGTCGATCTCTGACAAAACTCGTACGACTTAGACTCGTAGTGTAAGCACGGCAAGGCCAAAGGAGATCAAAGAATGTTGCCCGATAAAAAGGACCGTCCACCGAAAACCAGATTCAATTCTCGAGATAGATCGAAAGAGACGCGCGCGACCTGCGTACCGCGACTCAAGAGCTTCCCCGCCGAGAAGATCAAGAAACTGGATGATTCGCCGACGTTCTCGCCCGAGCCAATTGGCGTGGCAATGGTGCAACGAGATCCCCGGGTAGTCTTCCTGGCGAGCTCGTCTGTCGGGATTAACTGCGATCGTGGCGACGCAACGTCCTCTGAATTGTCGCATCAGCAATTCAAAGTAAATTCTGAGCGCCGCAAACTCGTTCATTAGGTTCAAATAAAATCGCGCATCGTAATTTTAAGTAGAATAAATTTATTATATTAATCAATTTATTAATATTTATTATATTAATCAATTTGTTATATTTATCTTTAATTCGATCAATTCATTACATTGATAGTGCATTTGTTATATTAACAACACACGCAAAAGAATGCGTATATATTTTTTTATTAAAATAAATGTTATTTGCTTCAAGTATTTCATAAGTTTATACATCCGCAAATCTGTTATAAGTTCACCATAAGCATTAAATTTATTCATAAGCATCAAATTTATTTAAGTATGTTCTGAATTCTAGTAAGTTTCAATCAAATTTCAATCAGATTGTTAAGTAAAACAAAAATTCGGTTTATTTGATAATAGCCGTGAAATATATTTATCACAATTTTTAGAAGAGTTCATTATCATAAACTCCAAAGAGGAATTTATTCTTTTTATTCTACAAGAATGTTACACACACAATCCTTATTGAAGGAAAAAAGTTGGTTAGCATTTATATAAAAGAAATTATTATAATAAAAATTACAAAAATTTTGTAATCTTAGATAATACAAAATTGTGACTGGAATTACTATATTTGCTTAAAAATTATGCATTTTCTACTGTAAAATCGTAATTACTTGCGTATTTTTATATCATATATCAGGTAGATCGTTGAATGTACTATAGTTTCTATAGTAATTTATATTATAATTTTAATACAGTGAAACTTTACAAAAAACATTACAAGATAAAATATAATTTTAACGTAACTTTTACTAGCATATTTTCTCCGTATAGAGCCTAACCAACTTTCCCTTCAATAAAATTCTATAATATTTTTGTAACGAGAATAAATTCTTATTCTGAATACATGATAAAGAGTTTTTCTTAAATTTGTAATGAGTATATTTTAAAATTATTATGAAGAAAATATTCTTTGCTAAAGATAACCATTATTTAAAACAAGAAGAGTAAACTGAGAGTGATTTTCTTTTTTAACAATAGAATGACCTCTCTCTCTCTCTCTGTCTCTCTCTCTGTCTCTCTCTCTCTCTCTCTCTCTCTCTCTCTCTCTCTCTCTCT